TATTGCTGAATTGAATGCTAGACTCAATTGAGTCTGTGGAGGTCTTATTTCTTGTGTATTTTTATTTGTCTGTAGTTTCCAGTTAGTTCCATTCTGTACACACAAAGCACACCCAAGCAAACCAGGCAATTCTTCATTGTTGTTGTTTTAGAGCACACAGACGGATTCCAGGATATGACTGACATACTTGCTCATCTGTAGGAAAACAAAAGCCATATTAATTTCAGTATGAGTCTCCCCTCTCCATGAGTCCAGACTGTGGTTTTTTTTTTTTGCAGGTCTACTTCAACAATGATATGTCTGTTTGTAATCAAATCTGCAAGCAGTGTCCACCAAACCATAGCAAAGCTTTTATACAAATGGTGTGAGAAAATGCTTTGCATGATATCATGATATCCCACTAAGTGAGAAGTCAGGATATGTATGATGCAAAAATGGTTAGTGCTGAAATAATTTCAGCTAGTGTAGTGTGTAAAGAAGGGCCCTCTATACTTCTAACACAGTGCAACACCAAAACTTCAGTACATTGGTTTGAGCCAGTAGGAAAATGTAAGTTTGCTTTAATTACCATGACATCACCAAATTTATTGGCATCTATATCAACCACTTTATTTTCTCTTTATGCATGATACCTCTGACCTTATTTCTTGGATTTGAAAGATTTCATCATTTCTGAAGTTTGTCAGATTTTACAGTATTTTACAAGCTTGACAGCGCTCAAGACACTACAACAAGAACATGTTGGGCATCTCCTGTGTGTTTAGCCTACATTTTGGCAATCATTTAATTCCTGTTTTGCTGTTGATGTTTTCGGGGAAAGCATTCCCTGATTCTCATCCTGTGCGCAGATGGCTGAATGAAAGTTGAAAAATGAAGGCAACTTTGCTGGTAATCTGATTAGTTGGATTTTCTGAAGAGGAAGGTGGAAAAACAAAACCTTCGTGAAAACACATCTTTAAAACATACTCAGCTGACATTAGAAGACTGAAGAAGAATGTGTTTGACTTTAGAATAGCATTCCTTGTGATTAGAAGTGATAAAACTGCTGCGTAATACCCACATTAATATAAGTATATTTTAAGACATTTATAAAATAACATTTTGTGCTTGCATTAATGTATGCACTATATTAGCTGGTGATACTGTCAGGGTGTAGAAAAATACCAGTGCATGAAACGCTACCTACTCTCTCTGCCTACAGGATGTCAGCAGAGGCAGCATCAGCTTTTACAGCATATACTGATGGAATTTACACGTTCTAATTGACTCTGCTCTGGTTACCTGCTAATTGCTTAGCAATTATCCACTGAAAGTTGACAACTATCACTCCTAGTAACTTACAGAGCACTGTACGCTAAAACAACCATATACATAAAATGTTTCTTTCCACAGTCCATAACCCTGATGAACACTAACATCACTCATATTGTGTCACTAACTCTCTAACACTAAAACATCCACTTATCTATAAATTATAAAGGATATATTTATAGTTTAAAACCAGAGTCAAATTCCTTGAATGTGTAGTGTACACAGTTGTCCAGTCAAGCTGTTTCTGACACTAAACATACCAGATTGTGACTGATGGCTCTGGCTCTCTTCTCTCCTTCCTGACATTTAGACGAAAGCAACAAGAGCAGTACAGTAAACAGCAGCATGTCTGTCTCATTGTCTTTCCTGTTTCTTCAGCTTTGCAACAGAAGATCAATGTCAGTGTAGACCTGCAACCCTGACTCTAAAACCCAGTGGGTCTTGAAAAAGACAGCCACGCAGCTGACATCATTTTGAAATGAAACTCATTTGTAATGAAACCTTGCAAAGCTGGAATATCAGAAAAATAATGTGCTAAAAAGCAAACACAAGGGCTGAATTGACACTGTCTTTGATTAAGGGAATATACGTGTCAACTTATGAAAGCTTCTTTTCCTACAGCATTTATTTACTTGTGACTGAACTATAGAATCTCTGTTGATATCTGAAAAGGTTCGCTTTGTTGCTGCATGAAAGTTTTCTTTCATTGTCTTGTCTGGTGGTTTTGTTTTCTTTTTTTTAATACCTTTAAATATTTGCATATGCACCTGAAACAATACTCCTTTTAAACTTGCCAACAGTATGTCAGGTACAATAGCTTGAAACCAAAAGATCTAAATGAGCTCAACTCAAGCAAAGTGTGCACCTTCTGCACTGCGGTTTACATTACGTTAGTGAATAAAAGTGTGTTATACCTGCGTAAGGTGAGACTGTTCTCAAGCCAACATATTGTAGAGGGGAAAAAACATCTTGCTTTGTCTGTGTTTCCAGTTTTGTAATATTAACAGCCATACACAGAGAGACTAATTGTTAGACATTTAGCTGTAACCATCAATTGCCTCGATTCACATGTTTGCGTATCTATTTGGTCATTTATCAGGGGCTGATTTGCCCTCTCCAGTCACCTCTCCAGCTTCGCGCCACTCATTCATCATTCCTCTCACAAAGCCAAGCCAACCCCCTGAGCACACGGATAACAAAACTCACTTACTCCCACAGGCAATTCATCCCCCACTGACCTACTTGTTTTCTCAATCTGACAAGTGTGATTTAAGAACTGCGGTAGGCCAGGAGTGCAGCGGCCATGTCTGGCTGCACTCACCTGCCCCAGGAGCTTAAAGTTCAGCCGCATCACCACTTTGATACTTTTTGCTCCTCTGTCATCAAACTAAGATAAATCGATGAATTTACATACCTTGCCCAGAGGTCTCAGTGTACTCGAGATAACTTTTTTCTTTCTTGATAAATAATGCTGCTTGCGGTGTCAACATTATACAGAGAGGAAGCCACTGAGCACAACGAATGCATAATGTATGTGTTGAGCATGACTCAATACACATAGCAAGACCACATCTATACCTACACAGTTGGCCATAAACAAACAAGCCTCCTCCTCACCTCATTTGAATAAAAATTGTATATTTGCCTACTTCTGTGCTCCTCTGTCAATGTCCCTGAGACTATAGTTTGTGTGGCAGCGTATGCACTGTTAACAGCCTTTAGTTTGTAAAAAAACAAAAGCGCTGAAAGACGATTCATAGTGTGCAGCATGGCACTGTTGGAAAAGGGTATTCATTATCAAAGTCATTTACTCAGGCTAATATGTTTTTTAAAGAATCTGAACAGGATTATTCATTGACATGTTAATGTGGCTCTCTGTAGTCATAAAGACCCTGCCACAATGGTGGACTGTGGGAGGCCCCAGACTAATGTGTTTTTGTCCATTAAAAAAAATGCCACCCCCTCTTTCTTATCCATTGAGTTGACTGTGCCAGTTTCCTCTGGGCCTTAAGGTACCTCAACCACAGTGAGAGTGAAGTGTGCTGTGAATCAGCCATAGCTGTGAAATTTCTGCCCTCTACTGCATTATAACTAGACAGTAATGTCTGTGCAACTACCATGCAAGAGTGGCACTACTATACTACTGTATTGTCACTACTGAAACCTACCTTATTTTTTATACTTTTAAGATGGCACATTTTCAGAGCTGCCAATTCATTTTGTTTTTGCTTTAGATTTAAAAACAAAACAGATAGTGATAGTAGTAGTGAAATCAAACCTGCCAAAGCATGCAACAACAAGCAGTAACTGTATAGTAGCTCCATTGACATCAGCCATAATTACTTCTGTTCATTCTTAGTAATATTGGTTGGCCTTGCCTTGATTGTTGTCTGGAGAGAATACTAGCCTAGCATGCTACGTGCACAACTAAAAGCATCAACGTCAAGCTATAGTAGTAACATTGCTTATTAATGGGCTTTGACATTACATTGTTTGTTATTTTGTTTAGTTCCTTGTGACTACTTGTGTTGTGTGATTTATGCTGTACTTAATCTTGTCCTGCCGCATGTCTGTGAGCCTGCCACCCTAAATTAAGTCTGAGCCTGAGGAAAGTTCTACTGAAGGTGTGTCTCACAGAAATATATGCAAACTGAAAAACAAAGAGTACATTCATTACAAACTTCATGTTAAAATTAGCGTAGCATTACCGCCTATCTTGTCAGCTCAGCGAACACCATTTGCTCTGCGCTGCCTCTCCCGAAACGGCCTCCAACGTTATCAGACTTCCGTCTCCAACTTCGTCTGACTGGAGAACAAATCTACATAATACAGATCAAGGGCAAACTACAGTAAGCGGAGCCAGTCACTCATGATAAGGATCACTTCCCTTTTTTTTTTTCCTTATGAGAGAAGGAGCGAAACAAGATCCCCATCGGCAGACAGGTTTTTTTCCACTTCACTGTTTTGTTCTCTTTGCTGTGATCAACTTCTGATGATTAACGTGGAGGTGAGCAGTTAGTTTCCACAATCTGGAGATACCACCTCTCTGATTTGCATAGATATGCAAATGACCCGGGTTACAGTTAGGTTGTTGAGACTGGTGATTTCAATTGGTGTGTGTGTGTGTGTGTGTGCGTGCGGTCCCTCCCCTGGTGCTACCTGTTACAGTATCTAGGTCATTGTTTTTGCTGCCTGTGTTCCTTGTCTGATGGATATGTACTGTATTCAAAACCAGATGCTTATGCAGCCTGGGCCAAGTTATTTATGATGCTACAGGCAGTCTGTGGATGTCATACCGGGTTTACAGTCAGGGGTTATACTAGCCTTTGTCACTGACTGATGTACTTTTATGTAGCTGCATACAGCATTTTTTCTACTGTTTGTAGGTTGTGTTTTCCCTGAGCTACTGATTTGTGTTTTGTGTCTTACATGTAAATCTAGCAGTGATACTCAATAAGTAAACTTGGAACATAATCGGGAGCTATTTTTCTTCGCCTCCAAAAGTAGATTTTTTTTGTTGTTGTTTCATTTTCTGATTTTGCAGCCAACAAGCAAATAATATTCTACACTCTGACTGCGCTGTGGAAACATTTTGCTTTGCGAGAGGTAACATAACAATGACTGTGTGAGGAAACATTTAATATGAGAAGTTTCCTTTGTTTTTCTTCTTTTGCTCCTCCTCCGTCCAGAGTCCTCACCCGGCCCGAACATCACACTGGAGGGCAAGTACCACTGTCACCAAGGACCTGGGATCCCACTGGTTAAACTGTGCGACTTCAGTGCAGACTGTCCACTCGGCGACGACGAAGGCGACCTATGTCGTGAGTACACCATGAACACAGCTGTTGTGAACAACGTGCAAGAGAAAGGCTCACGTGTCCGCTGCCCTTTCTGCATTCACTTCTGGATCACAACGGCTGATTTGTGAAGTTGGTCAGCCGGAGTGAATCGTCTTTAATGAAGCTGTTGCTGTGTAACCAACAGAGCAAAAACGGAGTGCCTAAGCTTTTCAGACAAAGAGACAAAGGGAATAGTAGAAAAAAAGGCAGTGTAGCTATACTTGGCTAGCATTTCTCGCCCATGACATATTCTATGGTTATTTCTATCTCTTTGCACATTTGTTTTCTGCTTTTCTCGAGGCCTAGGAGGAACACCAAGCATGCTGACATCTTATTCACAAGTGAAGTCCCCCAGGCCTTGCTCTGTGTGTGTGTGTGTGTGTGTGTGTGTCCGTGCGAGTGGATCTTTTTCAGTCCTACCTGCATTCATGCATTTTTACATTGTGTTCATGATTTATAGACACACAGTTTATAGATTTACAGACACAAACCCTGCACAGTTTTCTGTTTGTGTTGTACTTTGATTTCCCTTTTTTTCACCCATATTAAACTGAGCTGAATGAATTTGCTCCTACCCACAGTGCAGGTCAGCCTCCCATTTGGCACTAAAACGATGGCTGCTCCCTTGTGCTTATAGGTTTGCTAACTATGGGAGCTGAGAGATAAGAGGGTGAAAATTTCAGCCAGGCGCAGTTTCTCTTTCTACTGCAGGAGGACTTATCAGTGCTAATTGGTCTGAGAGGCTAACCCAAGGGTATAATCTCCATTTGAATGAAGTGTGTGTGTGTGTGTGTGTGTGTGTGTGTGTGTGTGTGTGTGTGTGTGTGTGTGTGAGAGAGAGAGAGAGAGAGAGAGATTGTAAAAGCCATTTTGATTCTAAAAGCCAGAACTGGAAATGTGAGCATAAATAATAATCTGTAAAATCTCGCACACACCACTGGCTTCATTCAGTAATCATCTACAGCAACAGATTTATATACTATGTACATATGAATATTTCTGTTATAATAATAATATTCCCGAATTATGTGTTAAGAAGACCATAATAAGTCTTATAATTGTTTATTTACATCAGTAACAAACAGAGCATGCAAGGGCTTTTATAATACTTGCCACAGACTGATGGTTGTTGCAGGGAAAGGCTTAATGCTGTGAGTCGACTGGGAAATGTTTTAGATCTGATGACTTCTTTTCCCTACATATCCAAACATCTTTCCACTGTGTGCCCTCATAATGAGTGCACACATGAAGGACAGCTGTCATTTGTCTTGAAGGAAGGTTATCTTTGTGTTTATCTATTCTTAAAAGTGTAATATCCTTTTTGATTAAGGACAAGGACCGACAATCCATAATCAGTCCACTCATATCTCATATGTGTCTCTTCTCTCGCTGTCACCCACAGTCTACTACTGTACCTCAGCACTGTATATGTTCCTTTTCATTTTCTTCACTCGTCACAATTACCCCCTGCTACCCAAATCACATAGTGTTCCCTCTCTGATACCCTATTCTTTATGATCTTTCCACGAGTTATCTTCATCTGATTTGATCTATTTAAATCCTTCATAAGTTGTGCCAAGGCTCGTTAACAGGAAAAAGCAGAGAGAGGCAGGAGGAACAAACTTAGCTTGTGTCAATCACAAAGATTCCTGACATATAAGGAAAATCAAGTCCCTGTGGATCTCCATCACCATCCTGCCCCTGCATCATTATGCACTAACACATCCTCCACTCTTTCAGAGTCACAGCTTCCTCAGGTTGATTTTAGTCAGGCTAAATTCTGCAGACACCCCACTGCTTTCCAACACTGCCGTTTCCCTGCAACTACAGAGAAATGCTGCTTGCATCAAAGGTGTGTGCAAGCAGGAATTTTAAATAGGAATCTGCAAGTTTATTTTTTTTGTTTTTCTTGAAACATCACTGTCCTCCCAAAGATCATTCATTACACAGTGAGACCAGTGCTATGATGGCTTTCTTTGGTTGATTCCAGACTAGCCCCAAACATGTCACCTCTTTCTGTTCACCTGAGTATTTCAGACCTATAGTATCAAAGGTAACTGTAATAATTTCAGTGTTACAACACTGTTATTCCATTTGACAGTGTCATAATATTTTATTATATCTTCATGAACTCTATCATTATGTGAGGTAAGGAAATTATTCATGACACATCATAAGAGCATATGCCAATGTAATCACACTTTATTATATGGAGCCTGCCATATAGCCATGATGTGTCATTTCGTCAAGTTGGCATGACAGACATCAGTAGAGTAGTGTAGAGTGACACGTATAACTAAATGACACTTCATAAAGAATAAGTAATGTTCATATCTGTTTTCATAAAATAGGAATGACACTGTTATGTCAGCCTTATTCACACCTCATTAAATAAAGTTAGATAAAGTCAGGTTGAATCTATTTGAAAGTGTCAAAACTAGACTGATGTGGAACAGTTGTGAATGATAGCTTGGGTAACAAAAGCAGCAAAGGTAATGCAGATGTGACATCATCACAGACGTCTTTAATTATGTCATGAGAAGCTATCATATGATGTGACTTCGAATCTCTGCTTCGTATGAAGAACATCTAAGTGACACTAACTGGTTTACGTAACAAGGAAAGTGACTCATAATATCACAAGACACAGAAGAACATGACTTTCCAGTTCAGAGAAGCATTTATTTGCTTGAGGAAAAACATAACAGAAGAACATACTATAGCATCAGTGTTGATGTTTTCTTTGTATTACTAAAGGTACAATGTGTAAGAGTTTAAAACATTTTTTTCTAACTTTATCTCACTCAACGGCTACTTTATTAGGTACCCCTGTTCAATTGCTTGTTAACACAAATAGTTAATCAGCCAATCACATGGCAGCAACTCATTTAGGCATGTAGACGTGGTCCATACAACTTGCTGAAGTTCAAACCGAGCATCAGAATGGGGAAGAAAGGGGATTTAAGTGACTTTGAACGTGGTATGGTTGTTGGTGCCAGACGGGCTGGTGTGAGTATTTCAGAAACTGCTGATCTACTGGGATTTTCATGCACAACCATCTCTAGGGTTTACAGAGAATGGTCCGAAGAAGAGAAAATATCCAGTGAGCAACAGTTGTGTAGACGAAAATGCCTTGTTGATGTCAGAGGTCAGAGGAGAATGGCCAGACTGGTTTGAGATGACAGAAAGGCAACAGTAACTCAAATAACCAAAGTATGCAGAATAGCATCTCTGACCGCACAACACGTCAAACCTTGAAGCAGATGGGCTACAGCGGAAGACCACACCGGGTGCCACTCCTGTCAGCTAAAAACAGGAAACTGAGGCTACAATTCACACAGGCTCATTAAAATTGGACAATAGAAGATAGGAAAAACATTGCCTGGTCTGATGAGTCTTTATTTCAGCTGCAACATTCAGATAGTAGGGTCAGAATTTGATGTAAACAACATGAAAGCATGGATCCATCCTGCCTTGTATCAATGGAGTGTGCAGATGTGTGCGAGCTATGGTGCCCACTTGCCCGGCTCCAGTTCTGGTGCCCATTCTGAAATCAGTAAGCTAATGGGACCGCTAAATTAGCTACATAGCTAACTGAGTTAACCAGCTAACAGCAGAAGTATAAATTTGACACTAGTCTCCATTCTTACACATTGCATCTTTAAAATAAAAATGAAAAGGTGTTGGTTTCATGATATTAGGTCTTCTTCCTGAAGAATACCTGCTTTATGATGTCTGCTCGGGCCAGTTTCACTTCCATTATCTGGATGATGCTATTTCCAAAAAGCACATTGTTATCATGGCCCTCAGAGATTCTTATAGGTAATGGGCACTCTCAGACAGTAGCTCGGGATAAAAGGACTATAAAGCAAACCTAAGGTGAAAACACTGAAATGGAACTCAAACCCACCTCGTTGCTATCAGAAACTCAACTGAAGGTTTAAGTCTGATATGAATTTTAAACATTCAGCAACACCTAAAATCATAGAAAAAGGGAATGATTTAACAGATTTGTCATTAATAGACATTAAGGTATTCAAGGTAAAAGAAAGTGCCTCATTTTAGAACACAAAAATGTAGTTTCTCTGATTTCAAGTTCAGCACTGTAATACACACAAACACCTGCACGCACACACACACACACAGCTGTTATCTGTAAGTGAAGATGGACCGGAAAATAGTCCTGAAAGTGAAAAATTCAATCAAAAAATGTGCCTTTGGCAAAATAATGGGTCTTTAAATATTTGCACTACCTAAGTTGTATTTGATTTATTCTGTCAGTTACTTAACCAAACATAAAAGGAGAAACCTTGTTTGCAAATCAAGGACTTTGCCCTTTTTCATTAAGCCAGTGTGTGGAAAGAAGGAGACATGCCTATCTCTTTTTGAGGTTACACAAGCACAGAATCCAATTAACCATTTTCACTGTAGTGCTACTGTACAGAATAACTTTGTAAATTGAAGTCAGTGGCCGAAATGCTTCCGAGGCTTATGCCATTCTGTGAAGTGATTTCAAGTTGATTGCCACCCCCAAAACACATCATGTCACCAACTCGGCTTTCTCATTTCCCCTCAGACCTCCTTCCTTCACCCTCTACTCTTTCCTTTCTCCCCCTCTAGACACTTCATGCCTTTTCCATTTTCTGCTTGTGGTTCTAGAGTCACTCTGAGAGCCTCAAGGCCCCTCCCCACCGTACCTCAACCCTAATTCTCACCAACACATTGAGTCCTGTGAGCCATTAGTCTGCACCCCACGCATGCCTCTCTCCTCTCAACCTCTTCGCCTTCACTGTCGCTCAAATCCTTGATCCCCAGTCTCCGCCCCGCCCCTGTCCTTTTTCTCCTTGGCAGTTTGGCTGTCACTGTTCACTCCATTCTCTCTTCTTTCAACCCCCTGCTGGGTCCATCCACTCATTATATGCACCCCTACCCCTTCTTATCTTTTCTCCCCTACTCCCCTGATATTTTCTTTCTCCTGTCTCTCTCCAGGCCACTTTCTCAATGGCAGCTACTGCTCTTTTGAAGAGGGCGAGTGCAGTTGGCAGCCAATAACGGGCCGTGGTCTCTCCTGGAGACGACTCCTGTCACCAGCCAAGGCTAACAGACAGAGCTGCCCATCATCAGGTGGCTCATACACGTCTCTTATGATATTATGAACACTGTTCTGATCAAATAATGAAATGGCCTATTTGCAGGCTGTCTTAAGTGTGTAAACAGCAGTGTTTGTATCGCATTAAAATGGACTTCAAATGGGAACATTTTACAGAAAAGCAAGACTTGAATTTAAACCAATGACCTTGAATATTTGAGTCTAACAGTTTATGAATGTGGAAAAACCAAAACCTCTGATGTGTCAGACACGGACGTGTTGTCTTGTTCAGAGCTCGGTGCGCTGCTACAAACAGAATCCCACTGGGTCTGAAAGCTCCAGCATGTATACTCCGAGCCTACATCTGCAGTTCATTGTCAGAGCAGTGACTCGAGTCTGTCTCTCGATTAGATTTTAACGTCTTGGTTTAGTTTACAGACATCTCAGATGTGGCAAGACTATAAATAAGGCATTCTAGTTTTATAGTATATTTGGAGATTTGGTCTTCGGAGTATATTTTTGGCACAATTACCTGAAGTGACAGATGACCATTGTTCACTGTCAGGTTTGATGCTCTCACTGTTGAACTATACTATTTTGTTAGGAATTCTTTTAAAAACCTTTAGTTAGATCAGTTAGGTTGTATCAAAGTAGAGCAAAGGGAGAAAAAAGGGAGAACGTCCGCATATATTGTAAGACTTCATTCAATTAATATAGCCTGAATGTATGTGTTTGATATTTAATTTCTTCTGCTGTGTGTTTAATATGTGTTTGTGTGTTGAAGGTGCCACATTCAGTGTGGACGGAGGCCAGTCCAAAGGCCCGCGTAGCTCAGCATTACTGAGGAGCCCTCTCTTCCCTCCTCCTCTAAGAAACTCCCCATGCACGGTGAGCAAAAGCATAGTGTTTTCTCCACAGAGTAAATATCGTCTCCATTCTCAGACATGCACATACAAGCACGTGATCAAATGTGCACAACTGGCGGTTTACTCAGCCTCAACCCTCTTAGTTACTACTGCTACTTCTGTCGAGCATTCTGTTTGCACACGGCATGTATGCAGTAACATGCCAGATTTGCCACTGAAAAAATTACTCTTAGATTTCGCAAAGAAGTAAATAAAAACAGGCGTCTCATTTCTAGCTGGCGGAGTTTATCAGCTTCAGTTAGCTTGCGTAAGCTAATGCTAGAACTGTGAAACTCCAACTGACTTTGTAATACTTAAGATGATTTGTTTTAAAAGTCGCCTGCTTACATAACCTTTGTTAATATTTTTACGTTTTTATTATACGTTATCTAATGCAGGTTTTGCTGGAGTTGCTTAAGTGGAAATCTCTAAAAACTAAACAGTATAAAGAGCAGGGCAGGTGCTGTTTTGCCTACGTACTGCAATGGTAGAAGCACAAAAAGCAGAGACAATTGAACAAATTAGCAAAATCTGAACAAGTCAGCAAAAGCAGGCAGGCAAAAGGCTCTTATTCTGAAATGCTCCATGCGGATGTGTAACATTAGCCTACAGAGAGCTGTTGTCTGTAGCTCAAGTACACAAAGTGACAAATTAACAACACTTCGACAACGTGTAGGTAAATGCTCCGCTGCTTCATTGTTTGTTGACGCCGGACGAAATCGCATCATAGCCGTCACCTGTGTCTGTTCGGCTGGCGCCTTTATCCTACACGTTTTCCTCTAGTTTCATTTGTTGTAGTAAATTGTACACGCCCTGTGCCCGCTCTGAGTAGAACCGTAACAGCAGAAGCATGTGATTGGTGAGCAGATCTGTCACAAAACGTCTTCGTGATTAGCTAATCGAGTTCTATCAGATCGCAATTTCAATTTGAAAACAATTAATCATTCAGCACTAATGCATGGTTTAATTTACCTCACAGTTTGGCTCTTCAAACTCTATGTGCCCAATTGACTGTTGGCTAAACCTCACCCTCAATCAATGACTGTCCTATCATAGCAGCTTTAATAAAGTACAGTAAGATTATTATTACATTGATATTTACTGTAGGTTGTGTAGATATTTAGGGGTATTTGGTATAAAAAATCAATTGAATTTGCATAGAAAGCCCTTTAGCTGCATTTTTAACAGTGTTGTTTAGTAACACTTGTTGCTGTAGGAGTAGAAATTTTGGAATAATTTGATATGTTAATTGCTTCAGAAACTGCTGAAAAATCAAATAATAATGTGTCAAGACACTAAGTTAACACTGTGCCATCTGCATTTCCTGAGAGATACTAACAGACAGTGAGTTTGACCTCGTCATCTTGTATCTGCAGACCTAGTTCTGAAAATATTAGAAGTCATGCATTATTCAGATCACGATGCTCATAGAGCAGGTCTCTGGGGGTGGTTGCGTGAGTGAAGTCTTGATTGATGTGGTTGCATCTAGCACTTAGAGTTATATTAGTTTGTTTAATATTGCTCAGTGCAGTGACCTTTGGCCTTCTGCATGTGTACTTTGTGAAGGGAGGGAGTGATTGGGGGGTGAGAGAAGCTGAGACAGAGGGGAGGGATGGAGGTGGGAAGGTGGGGCAAAAGTCAAGAGGTCAGAAAACACTATAATAAGAGAGAAAGAGAAGAAATAAAGTATAAACAAGAAAAGCATGCAAAGGAACTGGTATGCAAGAGAAACAGAGAAATATTAGAAAAAGAAAAGAATAGAAATGTGGGAGGAGACCCATGCTGCTTCTCAGGTGTGATTTAGAGGTGTCGGATATTTGTGGACAGCATTGGAGGCAACACTGCACCATTGCAGACCTTGCCTCCCAGCTTCTTGGCACACAGCCAAAGATTAGCCACGATTCCAGATTAACACTCTAAATCCTTCTCACTACACTGAACCGGTGCTGTTTAATCTAGCCTGTCTGCTGTTGGACAACTATGTTGAGGATATTAGTTTTGGGTATTAGCTACAGACCACGTTCACTTTCATGTCGTGCCCAGTGTGCACTGTGCAGTGCCTGCAATCTTGATGTTTAAACGGTCACCATGTGGTCTAGCAGTTGATGATAAGGACCACAACCTGCTATTGACAAACACAATACAAGCGCTCAGCATAAAAGTGTTCAATTCGATTGTCTGGGTAGTGTTGTCTCTATGTGTACTTTTCATCAGGCTAAAGCCAGCGTCTGTTCCACTTAGATGGTGAAGCAAGAAACAATGTTCTCGGCTCCAATAAAATTAAATTGCTGTAGAGGGACATGGTCACATCCCATGCTTGTTATTAAGCTTTAGATTCAGACTTGCTTTTTGTATTTAATTCATCCTATATGTTGGTTAATATTAAGCAGGTTTACACCAATCATATCCCCCTGGAAACAGCAAAATGAGATTTATTTGTGCTGGAACAGGCAAGAGCAGCATATATAGCAAAATAACTCAAATCATGATCCTGGTTGAATTCTATTAATCTTAGAATAATTAGAACTGAACAGATGGTTGTTGCTGATTGATCTCACAGCAATTTTAAGTGATTCCCTTCCTTGACGGATAACACACTTGGCTGGTTTTCTTCAATTCAGAAATATTCAAAGGAAGTTAAATTTGCTGTGGTATTTAATGTACTGACACACACTATTTCCCATAACTTAAAAATCAACACTCCAAGTCTGTGGTCTCCTTTACTGCAAAATAAATTTTGATATAAGTGCATTGTTCATTCAGTATTCATACTTATTTCAACAGGTGCGATTCTGGCTGTGTTCTGGAGGCTTACAGAAGGGGTCGCTGTCTCTGTGGATAGTGAAGAACAGTACAGGCCCTGAGGAGCAGCGCATGCTGTGGCATTCAGCCAGTGAACCTAAATCTGAAAGGGGGTGGAAACTCGTCATAGTTCCCCTTTACGGCCTGGCAGACTGGTACGACAGATGCTCACCTGTTTCAGTTTGATTATATCAAAGCTGCCTGTTTGGATTGACTGAAGTGTCAAACTGGCACTTTGAGGTGTTTAAGAGCAAACAAGTCACCCAACCCTCCTCCAAACAAACCTCCACCACACTCACACAAATACTGAAGTGTTCTCACAGGAAGGGAAACAGAACCAAGAGGCTCTTCTTCCTTCTTTTCACCTCTCCTAAATGCAGATTTTCAACATTTACATTCCATTTTCTGGGAAACATTTCCTCTCAACTCGACAAAATTAATGAATCCCATAGGGACTCCAGTCTTATGCCACGGAACTGCCATGTGTACAGCTGTACAAAATATCCTCCTCTCCTTTATTCCACTTGTCTTGTGATAGAATGTAGGAATCAATACACAAGGCTCTACCCACTCTGCTTGCCTTCCAATTAGCTATGGCCTTGATTTCCCCCTCATAAAAGAGAGAAATTAAAACAAAATAGAATAAAGAGAAGGAAAAAAAAGAGAAACCCTAGATGAGGCAGTTCATCTCTGTTTGCCTGACTGGGGGTTCTTTGCCATTCAAGCTTAGATAATCCTGCTCCCCTGAGAGTGATTAATTTTTGATTCCTGGGTTATGTAGTCAGCTGTGCTTGTGCTCTTAATTAGAATGTCATGTCTGCAACTACCGGGTGAACCTGCCACTCTTTGCACAATGACCTTTGTAGAGCTTAAATAGTATCAGAAATACAGCCTAAAGTGCAGACAGAAGTCAGGACATAACAAACAGTATATGTAGACTCTGAATGTGAAGTGTTTTTGCTTTGCTGTAGGTTGTGTTACTGGCAGTTACAGCCGGAGAATTCATTTCAGTTCAATTCAGTTTTATTTATATAGCACCAAATCCCAGTTATCTCATAGCGCTTTTCATTAAAGAGCAGGTCTAGACCGTACTCTGGTATAGAATAATAGAATAGAATCACTTCTTGTCGGCATCACTGTCTTAAAGCTAGAAAATGTAAAACTAATCAATATACAGAGTGATACTGATCAAACTCTCCAACCACAAAACCATTTACACTTGAAAAATGTGTTTAGCTCCACAGCACTAGTTTGACATTTTGGGAAATACAATTATTCGGCCTGAAAGTCCCTCTGTTTTTGGTCTTTATGTTAAGCTAAGCTGGCCCGCTATTGGCTGAAGCTTAATATTTACCATGTAAACATTAGACTAATATCAATACTCTCATCTAAGTCTTGGCAAGAATGCGAACAAACGTATTTCCCAAAATGTCAGACTATTCCTTTGAAGGTTTTAGACGTATAGCCCATGTCTTGCATGTATAACCATGCCTGCCTAAATTATTTTATGCATAAAATGTAATGCGGAACCAGAAAATGTGTCAAGCTGTTTTTTGTTTTTGTTTTTTTGTATCTACTGAAAAAGGGAATAGTTCTTAACAATACAGACTGAGCTGTCATAAGGCATTCAATGCACACCCTCCAAAGCCAACTCTCACTGGCATTTTTCTGAAAGCACGATAAATTCTTCTTCACATCATTTCAGTCAGAAGCTATCCAACCATTCACAGGCTGCGAGGTAGTTAAAACTGCCCTGTCCCTCTGCAGGTTCTGGCTGCAGTTCGGCACAGAAGATGGACCTGGACCCGGTTCAACCATCTCTCTTGACAACATCTCTTTCAGTATGGACTGCTTCCTGGCATGTGAGTACTCTAAAAATGTTGAGTCTTTCCTTTTACACCCTTACTTCATCAGACCGTGGTTCAATTAATGGAACTGTTTGACTGATAGCCGGCTTGATTGACCGTGACAAGCAAAATGGGGCAAAAGGAATGTATTTAATAATCAATACAGGTCTGCCCTATATTCATGTTTTACAGAGGTACGATTTGACTGAGTAGCAGTTTTGTACATTTTGGAGCATTCATCAAGGGCTTACTTATCCATGATTTATTCATTTCAATTCTCTTGACATAGCCAGTATACAGTGTATTGTCTTCTTTTGTGCAACTGAAAGACTGTTAAAAAAAAAAAAAGCTAGCAAGTCATTTACACTTCACACTACTCCTCTCTTACAAATAATATCTTTGCTAAGAGTACTGCAGCTTTGCTTAGAGATATATCAACTAAACTTAATGGAAATGATGTATATTACATTTCTTTGGCACTCTCTCTTTGAGTACCACAAATGTTTTTTTCTGAAATGTCAGAACATTGAAATCTGTCTTAATATAGTTTGCTGATTGATAGGGCTTTTGTTCCAATGTTGTACATCAGGCTTATAAAGGTCACGCCTCATGTTCTGGATATTTTTGTGTTATAATTGAGATGGTTTATCAGTATAAAAACAGGAGCAAGATGACAACCAAGTCAGGCATCAGGAGAGTGGAAGGTTAGGAGTTCAGAGCCTCCCTCCATCTCTGCCTATCTGGAGGAACCTGTTTGAACTGTGACAGGAATAGTAATGACAATGGCTCTGACAACAGGGAGAACAGTGTTAAAATGAAGCTGTGTTAAACTGACTACACCCTGGCCAAGAATTAGACTCAAGAGGCAGGGGGCACAGGTGGCACCTTCTGGCACAGTCTGATTTTTCCCTGCTTTAATTCGATACATTGTGATGCTGGGTAAAACTGACCCTGTCGAGTTTTTTTGTCTAAGGTGAGAAGATATGGTGACATTACTACTACTAACGATTAAATTAAAGATGACATGTTGAAAACGGTTCAGTTGTGATTAATTAGAGATATTAAAACAGACTGTGTAGATACCAGTTTTCATTCATACATAAAATAAGAAATGGCAAAAGTTACTGACACACAATCTAATATCTGTTCACCTTTAGATTATGTTTTTTTCTTATTGTATTCATCAACCACAGCTATAATCTCAATGTTGTAAAATGCAAGCAGATAACATCATCTGAATATGATGTGAGAAAGTGCTGTTGGTCTATACTGGAGCAGGGTCACCATTGCCCTGTATCAACACTGGCTTATTAGGTCAGAGATTCTTTATTTAAAGAGATGACATTTTCCATGAGATATTTGCACGCCAATTGTATTTTATGTCCTCTGGAGCAGCAGCACTGGTATGGCAGCTCTGAAGGATCATCTATCCCCACTTTGCTCACTTTCCAGATGGCAAGCTCTTAATCTAGGCCAGGTATCCATTACCTATGGCCACACTTGACACACTCACATTTTATCGCCCATTAATAAGACCAGCAAATGGGAGATGCTGATGCTCAGCACAAGACGTCATTTCCAAGAGTGATCGCTGTGAGTGATTAGCATGATGGATCCCTGAGCATTATGACACAGCCCTGTATATTGTTTTGGTGGGAAAACATACCGCGAACACATTATGCAGAAGACCAGCCATCCTTGGCCTTTTTTCTACACTTCTCTTGGCTTTAGTGTGATGTATAGTTTGGTAAGCATGTGTGCTTCATGATGCCTCCATTGCCCTTCAGGTGTTGGACCTGGATGTCAGATTTATCATTTAAACTTCACCAGCATCATTGAATTAGTTTAATGAGTTAGACAGCACAGGAAGTTCATTCTTTTCTCGTTGCCGTGTACCATCACTTCTTTTTCCACACGTTTAACAGAAGTACCAGCTGCCTCTATAAAGGCTCCCCAACATCACATTGTGAATGTGCCTCCTCTGTTGCTGCTCCTTGACATCCATGCTCCTCAAAAGGTTTACAATTATAAAATGGAGTTTTAATTGTTGAGCTGAAGGCAATAGGAAAAAGTTCAATTGTGTTTTACCCATTCACATACTTGTGAATCATGTACAGTAAATGTCCAGTTAGTTTTTCTATTCCAGTTACGTGCTGACGGGTTGGTCAGCCGTTGAAATTCGACCTGTGAAATACAACTACGGGTTACTAAAATGTATTTGTTTCAATAATTACCACCTGCACCTGTGGGTGTTGAGAAACATGGAGACACACCATGGACTAGTAAGTACAGATTCTCAACAATCCTCCGTGTATTCACAGTGATGACATATACATTAGATACATACATAGAAGCTGTACATGCAAGTTATCAGATTAGTATGTTGTCTTGCATGTGAGCAAACATACTACATATATATTCTGAATATGCTAGATGGCAGGCCAGCTGTTGAGTCCCGCTTTTTGATGAGGAATAATACTGACTGTTAGCATGATGCGTCTGTAGTGTGGATATTTCTCAGAGCACTGCAATCTCGAGATATTTGGGGATCATGGCTTGGTGGAAACGAGGTGTCCCACACCACCCTCCCACCTCCTACCCCTGTGGCTGGCCTCTGGTGGGCTTCAGGTAGCTTACGGCGCCCCGCTAATGAACAGTGACAGCCACGCCGGCTGTTGCCCTGCCCTCTGGTTCATGCTGCTCTGTGGTGGACCTGCTGAGTCCTTCTCCTGCTGCAGCAGCATACCAATGCTGTGTGCTCCAGCTCTGTCTGTTCCATAGCCTTGCTGTATCGTGTTACCCCATGCTCAGAATAACAATGCAGTGAGCCTTATTAGCAACTTTGTTGCAGATATAAAAAGTCGTGGAACTTGTTGTGTACACAACAACACATCTAAAGGTGTAACATACAGAGACACAGTGTTGTGTAGAGTGCCTCTGCTCACCTAAACAATCAAACATATACTTGCAAGCTGTATGTGATCCATCAAATCTGCACATAAACTCTATCTGTATCAAAGCTCCCAAGCAGTGGAGACTTAGACGATCATATTTATTTGAGGATTACAAGGCTATGGAATGAGCTATTGATTTTTTGCTGGCAGATTTTAGGTGAGCAGTTCTCAGGTTTTTTAATCTTTGAAGCCAAAATTACAAGCTTTCTCTATTCTAAAGTTTCAGTAGAGACCACCAGGTGAAGAGTTTTGATTGGTTTTAATAATATATATTTTAACCAAGATGGCAATGGGTGTAGTTTTTAACTCAAGCCCAAATAGTATTCATGTCAAGTTATTAGCACAAACTCAAAGCAGGTTTTCTCGGACCAAATGTAACAGGGCCACACAGTAGCTTTCCAAACCTTTCAGCTGTTGAGGGAGCCCCCTGCCATATTGTCATAAACGGTGAGCCTTCAGCCTGAGGTGACAGGGGAGCCTGGATGGAGAAGAGGGAGTGTTTTTGCTGTAAAATGATTCTAGAGATAAAGATGAAAAGTCTTGTCTCCATCCCCTGACACCCCCAGAATGATGGCAGGGAAAGCAGGCATGATTTGTTTTCACTAAGGAGGTAAATGACACTATGTGGGCAACTCGTTGGCTCACCACAATTAGGAAACTTAATAGGTGGATTTTTGCTTGATATTCAGCTCGTGTAACTAGGTAATAGGTTTTGAAACACCACCTGTTCATTAATGGGTTGTTGGTGTTATCTGGAGCTGCAACTTTTTACTCCAGGAGTACTTGTGGCTTAGAGGAGCTAAGCAAGTGAAAGAAAACACTCTCATGAAACCTTTAAATCATCCTTTTGCTGCTGCTTGCCTTCTAGGGGCCACCCAATGGAGAATATCAGGCAGCTACAGTGTAAACAAACTGTATGCTATTGTGGTGCTCCACAAGACCAGTCTACAACCAGAAACATTCTCTCTGCCTTTGCCGTATGAAATGCAAATATGCCCAGAAAGCATGTAATCATCCTCTGAACATCCTATTCAAAATGCGGGGCAGAAATAGAACTTAATATGCAGGTCATACACAGTATCATTTACATTACATTGTTTGCATGCCTCAAGAATCTTCACCGAGCACATAGAAAGTGTTTAATGAAAAGACCATAAGGAAGGCTCTCATTGGTGTTGATAGACTGAAGCACTATGGCAGTCTGGCTGAAACAACAATGATTTCTATTGTTCTGAAGCTGACTAGGCAGTGTAGCCGCGTTGGGTGGCGAATACTGTATCCAGCTTTGTTATAAAAGTTATAAATGAGAGGCAGGACTAGCAGAAAAGCAGCAGGTCAAGATCTAAACACATGCTCTTGTTTGGTGTCATAACATTGCATGATGGCAGCATTATCAGCTCCACACACCACACTGAACCTTATCTGACTACTCAGAAATAACCTCTTTTGTACAAAACTCTGCTGCTTTCACAGCAGCCAACAAGGGTCATCTAGCAACTGAGCCACAGACGGCTTTTTTCTACAGAACAGTACATCAAAGACATGAGATGCTGGACAGAAACAGATTTAAAGTCACAGGCACATTCATAGCAGCTGTGAATGCAAAAGTGTTCACATTTTATGTACACACCCAACAAGTTGAAGGAAATGGTACGTGCTCTGCAATGTCTTCAGTGACCACTGTTGGCAAATTATTATTTGAATTTAATATTTTAATGTATTTTGTGCATTAGAGTGTTGTAATACTCATGGACATTGATTTTGTCACTTCAGCCCTTCCTTGAGTAAATACTGGAAAATGAATTTTGTTATGTTCAGCTGTCAGCGGTGCATTGATTGTTCCTGTAGCCTCCGCAGTCCCTGATAAGATGTGGCAGCACATTTCTTTAACACCATTCGGGCCAATCTTTTATACTGCTGATTGCAGGGCATGGACTTGATCAAAGAAAAATATTCATCTGTTCACTGATTCAGGCAAGCAACCATTGGAATTCCTGCTTCTCCACTTCCACCCAAACGAAAGAATGGGAACAGGTGACTTTCCAGGTCAGCATCCGACCGTTATGGTGGTTCAAAAAAAATAGAGTTCCTCTATCTTGAGCCGTAATAGCCAATCAGCCAGCCATTTGCCTGGAAGACCTAATTCTGGGTGGGAATTTGAGTGGAAAGAGATCAAGGTACCGTCAAGCTTGTGATCTCAGTTGTGGGAAGGCGGTGAGGCTGGAGGCTTGATGGATTGCTGCAAAACGCTCTTACTGAATGTGCTTACCCAACTACTGTAGGAACGGAGAGATGGTGAGGAGCTGGATGTTATGATTTCTACTCCCTCTGTATGGCCACTGGTTGTACAAATGAAAGAATGACCCCTGCTGGTGGTTCTGCATTTTCTGAGCCAGTAAGGGGTCTGCTGCTACTGTGCTTAGTTCTTCAGTGTAACAGCAACAGGATTTCTTTGCTGCACATGAAGAAAAGAAAGTACTACCTTTTCAATAAATGCATTATATTTCATTTCAGCCAATGGCGAGTTTCCACCAGTGGTCACCAGCACTACAGGGCTGCCGTTTAGACCGACCATCAAGACTACACCCCCATCCATTGGAAGCCCTTTAATGAACCCCATCGCTGATTACCGTAAGTGTGGACTTGATTACTGCGGGTAAAGTGAAAGTGATGCACAGATGGATGCCTTTCATGCCAGAGGAGAATATTCTCCACGTTGAAAAACATTTTCTGTGTCTGTTTCTCCTTCTGTCTCTCTTTGTCTTTCCTGCACTCTCCTTTGCTCACACATCGTACTCACACACACATATGCTTGCATGCATTAATGATTCACAATTACTCTACACGTGCCGAGCATGACACGGGCATGGAACAAAGTAAGTGTGCCCCCTACTGGTCTGCACCATGTCCACATCTGATTGAGTGCTGCAGAGATCTCCTTTGGCATTAAATGGAGCAGGACGGGCAGTTTTGAAGTGTAAAATCCTTCAATTTGTCTCCTGAGAATGTCAATGGAGCCACTTACACAGACTTGACATTTTCCACCTCGCACTCTCTCACTCCCCCGCTTCAAAAGGGTAAAGACAAGCACAGATTCATTTTCTATATTTAAAGTCATGAGTTAGAGTTACTTTAATTTCAAATGTGCTCTCAAACATTTTCTTTCATTTCTTTAGCTAGTAGCTTTGAAGCGCTAGAGATAAACTGGACATCAAGCATTACCATATTAGAATTACACTATATGGAAAATATTTTTTAAGCATGCATTTTTTCTAATGGATACTCCTTTTTCTCAAAAATAATTTTCCAATATAGCACATATACAAATGATGAACGAAAGTGAACTTTCTGTCTGTTTTGGTGACTTTTGAGGACTAGTTTCCAGTCCAATCTGATGTTTGGTCTGGACAGTGTTCCCCCACTCTAGGATTGTAATTGCATTCATCAGTATCTTGTTTTCTTCCCCCAGGCGGCATAAAAGGCTTTTATGACATTCATGAGCTGTTAAAGCCCAGCAAATCAATTTTGTTGGGTACAGAGGTGTGCCTTCCATCTGAAACTGGTTAGAGGAATCACTCACACACTATGGCCCTGAAAGACCCACTGATAAACTGCTTTGCATCGTCAAGGTGCACATGTAAAGACCACAGCCATTATACATTCTGAGTCTACATGAGAAAAGAGAAATCTCATTATATGCTCTGAAGACAAAAATAAGTCTGACAAAAAGGTACAGTTTAAAAATTGTTTGTTTTGCACTGGTGTTAGACTGTTAGCCTGCGTTATTTTCCATAGAGAAGAGAAGAAAAGGCAGAAGTGAAAATAAAGACCGATTGCACCAATGGGAGGTATTGCTGATTTATTAAAGGAGAACTTCCCTGATTTTAGATGGGAGTACTACCGCAAATGAAAAAGTTATACAAAACCTTTTGTAGCTCCAAATGGAGCTGTGACTACAACTTTGAAAATGAAAAAAATTGGTGGGTATGGAGTCTTACCACACCTCTGTAACCCGCTTAGCAAGTACCATTGTGGGTAATGTAGGCAACAGGTTTGAAAAGATTAACTGGAATAAAAAAGATGAAGTCTCTGCTTCTAGGGGATGGAAACATGGCCAAAAATATCTATCATGGTAAATAGAATAAGGAATTTTGTATCACGGTAAAGGTATGTATTAGGGTGTTTTAGACGATGTCTATAATGAAACATCGGGATGGACGATGTAATTGGAAGCGCAGGGGTTTACCTGAGGTGTAGGTGTGTGTGAGTGAGTGTGGGGAAAAGGCAGGTGCAAAGCATACTTAAAAACAATAATAAGAATGTTCGTGGTCATTAAAACCTGCTTTCACAGGGTGGTATAATGTGAATTTTTTTTTGCTGGGGTGCGGGGGTTTTACAATCACGATTTGTTACATAACACCGAATATATAGCAGAGGCTCTAAGCAGTGTTTCCCCTAGGTTGACTGATTTTTATTTTTTTTTGTCAAGCTTCATAGACAAAACAATTGTTTTTTGCTAGTCACAGTCAAGTTTTTTATTACTCACAATTGGTTAAAGTCACCACAGTTTAATTTCAGCATTAATGTAACAACTTGTCATCAACTCGACTAACGTTTACTACACATATTCTCTCTGCTCCGCTTCATGTGTGCTAAGCCTCAGAGAACAGAGCAGAGAGGAGAGAAACCAGCATGACCATAAATGACCGCAAAATGCAGTAAAGGCTCTCACACTGAGCTGAAGTGAAATGAGTGCACATAAATGAGGTAAATATCATAAATAAAATATTTTGTTTCGGGGGGGTCACGTTAAGGCGATGGAAGGGGAAATACTGAGCTCGTGCAGTGGAAAGGGTATCGCCAAATCTCTACCGGTGGACACATTTTTACTGTTGCACGGTATATGCTGTCATATCGCCCAACCCTATCTGCTTCTGCTGCATCGACTAAAATGTGCAGTCTGAGTCTGACGATGTTATAGGAGCGTAATGCAAAATCGATGTACTCTTTCAAGCCTGAAGAGCCAGACTGAGTGATCTCTCTCACTGACTGCCTACTACG